AATATTATATTCCTAGTACATACCAGAGCCAGATTGTGAACCTAGATGTGACCCGTGCACGTTTCATGAAACCCGGCCTTTTCCTATTAGAAAGCAAGAACAACAGGAGGTTTCAGAGAAACCTGGCTGGAGCTACTTGGAAACCTTGTCCATAATTTTGAAATACAGACCATTCTTTAACATTAAACAGGTTAGTCTGTACATATACACTCTATTGTTTTAAATCACTTTGTACAAATAGTCATTTCTTCACAATGTAAATCCTCAATTCCAATCCCTCCAGATATAATACATTTAACCTCCTGACTTTGAATTAACACAGGCCAGATCCAACGCACTCCTCCCTGTGCTCACACCTCTAATTCTAGAACTACAGAGCGGGCTGACCTAGTAAAATGTATTTCTTCAGGAAAGAGGGCTGTGACGAGAGAACATTTCTAATATCAACAACAGATGCTCTGTGAACTAACTCAGGCAGGCATTACACAGATACAGTAACCAAACTGCACAGTAAATGTACTGTGAGAAATTATGTTTCTCTCCCAAGTTGGGCTTTTTGGGGATGAAGCCTTAAAAATAACATGTCATTATTTCAGCCTATAATATGCTTATAATTGTCAAATGAGGCCAACAGGTTGTAAAGAAATAAAACCTGAACCTTTCACTGAGCGTGAGCACACCTACCCCATCCCTCAAGTTCCTTTTTCCTATCGAATTGAGGTCTTTTTAACACAGCTAAAAACTATCCAGATAAAAATTTAGTAGATAAGGTTATTCGTCATCACAACTAACGCTGATGAGGTTCATGAAGGGTTCGAACAACTATGGAAATTAAAACAGTAGAATTTTTCTGGAAATTCAGTAAAAAGCTGAGTGAATTCTTTATGGATCCATCTTCAGAAATTCACTGCTCATTTCTGCCAGAATTCCTGTGGAGCCAGTTATCAAAATACCCTTTTTAAATCTTGGAACATGTTTGTATTGCTGTTAGCAGTAAATTATTACCTAAATCTCTAGCAACCAAAAAAAAATCAACAAAACCAAATCATTTGATCTAGTAGCATGGCTACCAAATTCTATCAAATTCTCCAGAGACTCGCCCCCTACAACAAATACAAAAGATCTCTGCTTTGTTTGGACCAGAATGGAAGCCACCGGCTCTGGGCACTCCACAGGCCATTTTATACACCGTGATAGCCCACTGCCCCTCCAGTGGGGGATGGGAGAGTGGGGCTCTCCCAATGCTTTTCTTTTCTGGCTGACTGGGCTCTCCCCTACGTGCCCAATGTACCTCATACACATCTCCACTACACTACTGTCTGTTTACTTCAGTCCTGACAAAGACAGCAAGCTCAGCTCTTTAATGTTACAGACCCACAACCTTTTGTCCATTCATTTATAAACTGCCATCACACAGAACTGATTCCTAAATATGTATTAAGTTCTGTCTATTACCGATCTTTATATATTCACTCAAGCTTAGCTTTTTCATAAAAATATTTTCAGTAAACCCATGCCTTCCTCAACCACTCTACTGACTCATAAACATTTCTGCATTACTTTAAAACAAGCAAATGTTTACAACACTTAGCTATTAATTTATTAGTACTCACTGTATCATTTACCTCTGCATGCAGCCACTATGGAAAACAGTATAGATTCCTTAAAAACTAAAAATAGAGTTACCATATGATCTATCAATCCCACTCCTAGGCATATATCTGGAGAAAATTCTAATTCAAAAAGATACATGCACCCCAATGTTCACAGCAGCACTATTTACAATAGCCAAGACATGGAAGCAACTTAAATGTCCATCAACAGATGACTAGATAAGGAAGATGTGAGATATATAGACACACACACACACACA